CCAGGATGGTCTCGATCTCTTGACCTCGTGATCCACCCGCCTCAGCCTCCCAAAGTGCTGGGATTACAGGTTTGAGCCACCGCGCCCGGCCAAGTTGGACCTTTCAAAAGTCAATGAGGCAATCTAATCTTTTTCAGGCTGCTATAGCTTAACACCAAAAGCATACCTAGCATTAAATAATTATTGGAATGAATGAATGAACCTAGCTATCAGATATTAAAACAAACTAAGTGACCATGCTCCACATCTAAAAATCCCATAAACTAATATTGGCTAAAGGAAGAAAGATGAAAAAGCTCAGTCTTGATTACATCATGCAATGACTGTAACTTGCAAAATCCAGAGCACAACTTTACCTGACAAATCACGCACAGGAAGCTGGGCACATAACCTTTTTTTTTTGTTTGTTGTTGTTGTTGTTGTTCTTGTTTTTGAGACAGAGTCTCACCCAGGCTGGAGCATCGTGGCATGATCTTGGTTCACTACAACCTCCCCGTCCTGGGTTCAAATGATTCTCCTGTCTCAGCCTCTTGAGTACCTAGGATTACAGGCGCCTGCCACCATGCCTGTCTAATTTTTGCATTTTTAGTAGAGACAGCGTTTCACCATGTTGGCCAGGATGGTCTCAACCGTTTGACCTCGTGATCTGCCCACCTCGGCCTCCCAAAGTGCTGGGATTACAGGTGTGAGCCACTGCATCTGGCCATAACCTTTTTTTAACTGAATCAAACTATTGATACCTTTTCCCCTCACCTGTGATAAATTCTTACTTCCATATTTAGGGCAAACTTTGAAATGCTTATTGGCACACAGTTAGGCTCTGAAACTCAAGTATGCTAGTTAGCTAACTAGACAAAACAACCTTTTGCTAAAACTTTCAGATGGACTCCATGGAGGACACACAGCACATTATACCTTATTTAAGTGCAATGAGATAACGTTATCTTTATTGTCAATTTATTATCATGGAACAAAATGACAACAGAGGATATATTTTCAAATATGCCTTTTTTTTTGAAATGGAGTTTCACTCTTATTGCCCAGGCTGGAGTGCAGTGGCATGATCTTGGCTCACAGCAACCTCCACCTCCAGGGTTCAAGCAATTCTCCTGCCTCAGTATCCCAAGTAGCTGGGATGACAGGCGTGGGCCACCAAGCCTGACTAATTTTGCATTTTTAGTAGAGATGGGGTTTCTCTATGTTGGTCAGGCTGGTCTTGAATTCCCTACCTTGGGTGATCCGCCCGCCTCAGCCTCCCAGAGTGCTGGGATTACAGGCGTGAGCCACCATGCCAGGCTCAAATATGTCATGTTTAAAGAACTGCAATACAATTTGGTGCCTGGGCAGAATGTTATAAATGGCGTATGCCTGTACCAAGTGTGATCTTGTATACATTACAAGGGTTTTATAGCTGGTAATGAGAAGGACAGAAAATAAATTTGGTAACTGTCTATTATACTTGCCAGGAGTTATTCCTACATTTTTCTCACTAAATGCTCAGATAGTCCATGAGGTGGGTATCTGCAGATGAAGGAATGGGAGTGAAGACAGTAAGTAACTTGTGTTGCTAAGCAGCCTGGCTGAGATTCACACACCAAACGTGTGAAAAATATGTCAAACTCCAAAGCTCATGCTCTTTCCACATCGCACACGGTGATAAATCTATTCCAGGCCTAACCAACTAAAGACAGGAAGAACAATTAAAAAAAAAAAAAAAAAAAAAAAAAGGTACGCCGGGCGCAGTTGCTGTTTAATGTTTCCTAATTATTAATTTGATTTGCAACACTAGGCTAGCTATTATCAAGGCAGAGCTAGTTTGAGTGAAGAGTAAAGCAAAGAAAATCAATAAAATAAAAAAGCATAGACCAAGAGGCAATTCTAATGCTGAAAAGATTTATTAAAGGCATTCTCTTTATAACAATTGTCAGTACACATGATTCCAATAGCAAAATATTTTCCCACCATTCCTTCAAATACAGTATAACAATGTATTTAGTATAAATATATTTATAAAGACACTAAAAAGTTTCTAAGTCATGAGTTTACAAGGCAGAAACTGAAGATTAAATACTGAATATTAAGATGAAAACTACTACAGTATACAGATACCTTAGGAAGTTCTTCAAAGAAATGCACCTCCCAGGAAATCCTCATATGTGCATCTACACTCCAGCAAACTGGACAGGCAAAGTGCTACTCGCCAGAGTATTGACTAATAAAAATACACAGAGAGCTTCAGAAAGAATACAAGGTCAAAAGCCAAAAATATAAAAAAGAAAGTGAAAGCAAATGTGCTACACTGTACCACTTTAAAGAGCTTGAAAACACCACACGAGGTTCACTAATACTGTTCTGTCTGCAGTGACCAGTATTTATTTACAATCTCTTCCTAACAAGGAAATTACCAGATTTATTCATGGTGCTAATGGCCAATTTCAACTAGTTATGCCAAATGTACAAGTAGTATCTGTAAATTGAAAAGGGCAAATTTGAAAAGGATCAGGTTACTTAAATGAATAGGATTTAGATGAATTATTCTCCAGGAACTGCTCAAAATCACCCAAGCAGAGTTACTGCCTCTTCAAATTATACATACTCTTGAGGTCAAAAATGTCAAGCTATTTCCTTAATGTAAGATCCCACAAGTAGAATATTATCTTTATCACTTGATCATAAATAAAGGGATTTCTTGAAGCTGTGGAATATAAAGATCTTTAATCTTCATCAAATCATATACAAATTATTTCATTATGCCTTTAACAAAACACGCATTATTAAGAGAAGGTCCAGCCTCCGATCTCCTAACCTCATCCAACAGTTGAGTATGACTCTGGCAACATTTAATTAGTTTTAATTTATATTAATACAGCCCCCATAATGGAACAAAGATAACACAGTAAGCTATTATGCCAGCAAGCCATATTATCAATATATAATTATATTACATTTAGGTAGCAACCCATAATTCGGAGAGAAACAGGAAGCTACACCCTTGAGCATATTATTCAAAATGGCAACTAGATAAACCTTTGAGAAAAGTTTGATAATCAATGCAAGTTAAGCTGTCTTAGTTAAACTTGTATAGACCATTTCACCATAAACATTATCCAAGCTGTTTGCAGGAGAGAGAAGGCGTAGGCACAAAGGTAACTGTTCAGGTTTCCACTCATGAAAAAATAACCCTTTATAAACAGACTAATGAACCAACCACAGCTAATATACCAATGTTAAAGTTAAACACTTTAAACAAAATTTTAAAGATAAAAAGACATGGACTTTTTTGAAATATCTATATTGATTTCTCTTTATACCCTGGTGGTCATAAATGTGCCTACACGTCAGCATTCACACCCACTGAATCCTACTGGGTGTGCATTCCTCTGAGCTCACTGCTGGGGATGAGCCATGGAGTTCATAGACATGCTTTGGTACACCTTTATTCTTACTGCCGTCAATAACACTTGATTTAGATTGTTGGTGTTCTTCTTCGGTATTTTGATTATAAGTTTCCCAGGGTTTCAACAAATCAGGTCCATCTTCAGATTGAAAACAAAAGAGAAGAGACTTAGCTAGAGATTCTAGTTCCTTGTGGACAACGTGAGTTACTCTACCCTCATAGCTGTCAACAGAAGTAGAGGGCACACTGAGGTCTCTGTAAAAATCACTGGCCAAGTTGCAAATACTTTCAACACAATTCTGGAGAAGATTTACATCACCACTGCATCCTATATGCAAGAGAAAGAGGGAAAAGTTAATTAACCTTTTCAAGTCAAAGTGACTCTATCAAAACAGTTCCAAACTACTTAAGATTAGTCAACTAAAGTGTTTATCTGCTAGGTAAGCACCTGGTTCCTCAGGATCTAATTATTTAGGCAGAAGTACTGACATACATATTAAGTGGAAATTTAATTATCAATATAAGTTCCTATATTGATCATTAAATCTAATATCAGTGAATTAGATTTAACTAATATCAGTGAAGTAGCATTGGGTAGGCTTTAGTTAATGACTACAAAAACGAAAAGGCTAGAAATAAAAAGAAAAGATGTCAGCAGGTGCGGTGGCTCATGCCTATAATCCCAGCACTTTGGGAGGCTGAGGTGGGTGGATTATTTGAGGTCAGGAGTTCGAGACAAGCCTGGCTGATGTGGTGAACCCCCAACTCTACTACAAATACAAAAATTAGCCTGGTGTGGTGGTGCATGCCTGTAATCCCAGCTACTCGGGAGGCTGAGGCAGGAGAATCACCTGAACCCAGGAGGTGGGCTGCAGTGAGCTGAGACTGTACCACTGCACTCCAGCCTGGTGACAGAGCAAGACTCTGTCTGAAAAACAAAAAGGAAAGCTGTCTAAGGTTTCTTAAAATATAAATTTCTGATTAAACTCCATTTGGAGAATATACCTTTCAGTGCAGAAATAACAACTTCAATAGTTTTCTCTAAGCAATGTTTTAACTTTAAGAATTCTGGAGCACAATTGACCATCTTCTTGAAATCTTGGTATCCAAAATGCTCTTCTTGTACTTGCCTTCTGAAACTTCTCTGTATAAATAAAGTTAATATTTAAAATAATATATTAACAGGCTCGACGGCAGTAAGGGTTAGTCGATATGATTTCAATTGCCAGAATCTTCTCTTTAAGAGAGTTTCATTTCCTTACCAGTGCTTTATTTCTATAAGCAAGACCAAAATACAATATCAATTACTGTTTTAAAAAGAAATCGGGCCGGGCACGGTGGCTCACATCTGTAATCCCAGCACTTTGGGAGGCTGAGGCGGGTGGATCACGAGGTCAAGTGATCAAGACCATCCTGGTCAACATGGTGAAACCCCGTCTCTACTAAAAATACAAAAAATTAGCTGGGCATGGTGGCGCGTGCCTGTAATCCCAGCTACTCAGGAGGCTGAGGTAGGAGAATTGCCTGAACCCAGGAGGTGGAGGTTGCGGTGAGCCGAGATCGCGCCATTGCACTCCAGCCTGGGTAACAAGAGCGAAACTCTATCTCAAAAAAAAATAATAATAATAAAAAAAATAAAAAGAAATCGGAATTTTCAATTAAGTTTTCAAAGTCTATCATCTATTACATGAGAATGGAATAAAGCAACAGTGCCATTTACTATCCAATACCTTAAAAGATACATTTATTTCATTTTTAAGAGCTCAACTTTATAATAGTTCTCACTTATTTAAATAAAAATTTTCAAGACATAGCAATTACTCTCCTTTTTAAAACATTGATCATATACTTAGTTATATTTTTCTCTTTACCACTAGACATATGAATAATCTGTCTAATTCACCTGTATTTTAAAATCTTTGAGCACAGTGATGATTAAACACAATTTTTTAGTCTATAATGATCATTCAAGCAAAAGCTAATAGTTACTAAATCAGTAGCAATAAGAAACAGATATATTAATAAATTTCTATATAATCCTTTATCTGTCACTAAAAATAGTAAGTTATGACACGCACAAAAAAGATAAAGAGCTTTCTTACATGCTACAATTAAATATATGCAAGAGTTGTCTCTGGCTATGGATTAAAAACTGAAATAAAAATATCCACATTTGAACCAAGTGAAATAATAAAAAATAATCCAAATTAAACAAAATCAACTTAAAGCTTCTCTTACAATTTTCGATTCAGCAAAGATGTTTTCAAGAGATCTGATCAATCCCATGGCACTTGTTTTCATTTCTTTGGTAACCTGTAGAAAATGTTAAAATATTTTATTATACCTTATTATTTAGAAATATAAAAATCACCAAATTGCATGGGACCAGACTTTTACAGAGTTCTAGTCTAGAAGCCCAAAGACTGGAGTTCTATTTCTGGGCTTGCAATTAAATAGCTTGAAGTTATTTAAATCATATATGTAAAATTTCTTTCAAGATAAATTACACATTCATTTCTTGCCAAATAAGTTTATTTCACTTTTAAGATGTCAACTTTATAATCTCATTTATTTTATTTCATAAAAAATTTCAAGACAAAGCAATTACTCTCCTTTTAAACACATTGATCATATACTTTATCTGTATTTTCTATTTACCTGTGATTTGGGAAAATAATCAGTCTAATTCATCTGTATTCACTAATGATTTCTTTCAAAATAAACTGCGCATTGATTTCTGTATTAAATATGGACACCCTCTAATGTTTGTTATAATAATAGAATTTGTGTTATACTTAAATGTTTATGGGTATGAAATTTCAAAAATTTCCCTTGGAAGAGGATAACATATCAAGCAAATACTATATTCTAACAACTTCACAAATGTTTTGTTATTTGAGTCTCCATTACAGTCCTACGCTGCCCATGGCACGTCTCATTTCATAAGGAAACGGACCTTGATTCCTAACTCCTAGGACTGAGAACTAGGGTGGAAGCCCACATCTAAATTCTAAGCCTTTGCTTTTATTCTGTCTAATGCTGCCCCCTAAGGTGCCTTCCTGCTCAATTTCTGCCAGGGGATTCTTTTTCAGTATTTCATTGGCTTCACCCACAGAGCTCTTCCCCACCTTTAATTCAGATTTGCTCTATGTGGTTAAAAAAGAAAAAAGAAAAAAAAAGAATATCCAAATTATTTTTCTTTCCTGGCTCCAGCTTTAAAATTGTAGCTCCAATGCTTTTTATGTTTCAGCTTATTTTTTATTTCTTTGGATTTTTTATTATTCTTCTATAGGCTCTTAGAGGAGTTTTAACTTACAAGAATAGATAAACTAAAACCTGATCATGAGTAACAAAGTGCAGGTTTGTCATACCGTAAAAAGAAAACAAGAGAAAGGAAGGTATGCAGATAGTGTAAATTGTATACAGAATGGGCCTGGCCCTTTTGCTGTTTATTTCCTCAAAACAATACCAAGGCTAACATCTACACCCACTTCGACAGCTTACTAAGCACATTCCCATATATTATTTCATCTACTCTTTTCATTATTATTCTATACCCTTTTGCCCTTACTGCCAGCAGAAATTCTTCACAATAGTGACAGACTGCAAAAGTGGTATCGCTTTGCAAAGATGGTGAAGTATTTTAATGATAACTGGTGCTGCTGCTGAGCAAAACCAAATTTGAGATGTCAGTGGTGGTCTGAGACTCTGACAGCCCAATATGTCCCTTTCTTCAAAGTTGCACTACGGAACTGAAATCGGCCTCATGCCTATTGGAACATGAGCTTGATTTACTGACAATATGAGCTCCTAAATGTAGTAACAATCTGTTTATATCTTTAAACACACACACACACACACACAAAACGAGAGAGGCAGACATATACTGAGAAAAAGAGAACGCATGCAAGTAAGATGAATGACTTAAGATTTTCAGGCACTACATTTTTAGCATTTTCATATATATTGTTTCTTAATCTCATATAATTCTCAAACAATTTTATGAAATAAGTATGATCATCCTGATTTAAAAATGGAACAACTGAGGCTAAGGTAAATTGTTCAAGGATACATAGGCAGTACGAGAGCAGCTTAATGTTGCATGTCTTTCTCCTAACCTGATAGGGAGTTTCTCTGGGCAGAGAGAAATCTATATAGCCCTGTAGTATGAGCAAAGGGATGGAAAAATCTCTGTGGCTTACACAGAGTTTCACCTCCACTAAGATGAGCTATAAGTACATCAATACCAAGGTTTTACTAAACAACAACAACAACAAAAAAACTAGCTTACTCCATGCCTTTCCGGAAACAACGACACAGAGGGACAGAAGTCAACAGTACTCCACATGATCTACTTTTCTAGATCAATCAATATGTATGTAAATGAGGAGACATCCTAAGATCTCAGGAACCTAAATGTCCCCAGCTAAGATTTCAGGAACCTAATAGCTAAGATCTCAGGCACCTAAATGTCCCCAGGTAGCACTGCCCCAGCCAACTGACTCAGCAAGAGAAATGGAATAGACAGGGATGGTTTTTGTTTTTTTGTTTGAGACAAGGTCTTGCTCCGTCACCCAGGCTGGTATGCAGTGGTGCAATCACAGCTCACTGCAGCCTCGAACTCCTGGGCTCAAGTGATACTCCTGCCTCAGCCTCTGGAGTAGCTGGGACTACAGGTGCACGCCACCAGGCCTGGCTAATTTCTGTATTTTTTGTAGAGATGAGGTCTCATTATGATTCCCAGGCTGGTTTCACACTCTGGGCTCAAGCCATCTTCCTGCTCTGGCCTTCCAAAGTGCTGGGATTACAGGTATGAGCCACCATGCCTGGCCAGGGATGGTTTTAATATGTTGTCACAAGACTCTAGAATAGACAAGTCTCTGAAATTCAGTCTCATAAGAATTTGAACTTTTATCTTCCTAATCCCCACTTCGCTAATAGTTATTGTCAATAAAGAAAATTAATCCATGATTAATCCATCATTAATTAACAATGATTTTTAAAACTTATTTATGTAGCATGATGAGTTTTGGAGTCAAGCAGAATATAAAATCCTGGCTCAGGGCTTAACAGTTGGGTAATTAGGCAAAATACTCCAATTGAATGAATATTAATTCCTACCTTGAAAAGTGACGTGAATATGAAACATGATATTCATAGGGCTTTTTCTTACTGACAAAGTAAAAATCCATTACAGAAATGGCCAAGATTTACCACTGTTACATGTAAAGCACCTAGTCCAGTAACTGTCAGAGGAAATGAATCAATAAATAAATAGTTTACAGCCTGAGATGTAAGTATGCTTACATGTGACAGGGAAAGAAACAGGGTCAGAGCATCAAGTGACTTGCTAAATGATAAGGGGAAAGTGATAGAACCAGGTTTCAAATACAAGTCTTCTAATATTAAAACCCAGATCTTGCCTAAGGTACTAAGTAATGTTAGCTGGAGGAGGGGAGGAAACATATTTTAGGAAATCACTGAAATCCTTGATTGATCTGTATCTTGATATGAAATATCTTATGTGAATGCCCCTGGAAAAATATTTAGTTCAAGATACTGAATCAAGAAATGTTACTAATAGTTTCCATTCTTAGAAAAAGAGAGGCCTGAACAAAGCTGAGGAAGAACGTGACAACCAGAGAGCGAACAGTAGGTGTCACTACCACACTCTACGCTCTGCTTCGGAGTTTACAGACTGAATTCTTCGTAACAGCTGCAACAGGACCAAGCAAAATATTAACAATAGAGGCTGCAGTGATTCAAGAATAACTTGAGAAAATATCACCATAAAATCATGATGTCAGCCTCTCAGTGAAAAATAACTCAAAACAAATTAAAACATATGAATTTATAAAAATCTAATTTGTTTAAAAAATCAACTTCATATATTATTTAGTGGAATAATATGGAATATTCTTTTATTCATCTTACCTCATTTCCTGTACATTGCCTTAAGAGTTCATGCTGAAGTTCTTTTGCTTTTTCTAGTCCAGAATCTAATAAAATCTTCATTCCCAAGCCTACACCATCACAAATAGCATCCATTAATTCCCCCTAGAAAAAGTATTTAAGTATTAATTAGAAAATTTAGGTTTTATGTATTTTAATTTATTTCAATTTAAATTTTATATATTTTAAATTATCAAGTAATTAAGTTATATTTCCTGCTTACTTTAGGACTATAATACATCCCAAGTTTATTAAGTTCAACTAAGGCTAGAATAAGAACTAATAATCTGTAGTCTATAAAGAAACAAAATTAGCAAATACGTGATTTACTATCTCATACATAACATATATATATATAACATATTGTAAAGAATGTTTATCATCTTTAAGCAGGGCTCTGTATTGTTATTGTTAGAACACAGAAACAGTCTTTCTTTTTTTTTTGAAGCAAAGTTGCCCAGGCTGGAGTGCAATTGCATGATCTCGGCTCACTGCAAACTCCACCTCCCTGGTTCAAGCTATTCTCCTGCCTCAGCCTCCCGAATAGCTGGGATTACAAACGCATACCACCACACTTGGCTAATTTTTGTATTTTTAGTAGAGACAGGGTTTTGCCATGTTGGCCAGGCTGGTCTTGATCTGCTAACCTCAGGTAATACACCTGCCTTGGCCTCCCAAAGTGCTGGGATTACAGGTCTGAGCCACCACCAGAACACAGTAACATTCTAATATAATACAATGTTTTCAATAGCATAAATAGTGAAAGCAAGCAGATACAAATTATCTAGTATTTCAGAGTTTTTCATGTGTTGATTGGCTGAGAAAACCCTCCACGGTAGATGGCTAGCATCAAATTAAGGATCTGAAAGGCAAAATAAGGTTTGTAAAATAACCCAATATATTTAAAATGGATTTTTTTTTTGTTTTATTTTGTTTTTGTTTTCTTGAGATGGAGTCTCACTCTGTTACCCAGGTGGAGGGCAGTAGCGTGATCTCAGCTCACTGCAACCTCTACCTCCTGGGTTCAAGGGATTCTCCTGCCTCAGCCTTCTGAGTAGCTGGGACTGCCTGGCTAATTTTTATATTTTCACAGTAGAGACGGGGGTTTCACCATATTGGCCAGGCTGGTCTCGAACTCCTGACAAGCGATCTGCCCACCTCAGCCTTCCAAAGTGCTGGGATTATGGGTATAAGCCACCAAGCCTGGCCTAAATGGTTTTAAATCTTAAAGAAAAACTACTAAAAATACAAGCTACTTTGAAAACTTAAAAAGAACTTGTCATGTTTAGTATTATACTATTATCAAAAGTCTAATGTTCCCTTGGATGAAGTCTCTCTAAACTAACATTGCTAATTTACCTGGACGCTGGCAGCTTTACTGTTACTGTTTTCCAGAAAATGTAACTTGCTCCCATTCAGAACTGCTAACTGCCCCACATACTTTACAGCTTGTTGTACAATTTGGATTGCATTCTTTTGGGCCTCTTTTATCATTGATGAAATATCCGAACAGCATCCCTGTAAGATAAAAATGGACAAGTATATCAGATACATGAGATTATAACAGGTGGTAAAGAAGAGATAAGGGCCAGGCACAGTGCCTCACACCTGTAATCCCAGCACTTTGGGAGGCCAAGGTGGGTGGATCACCTGAGGTGAAGAGTTCGAGACCAGCCTGGCCGACATGGTGAAACCCTGTATCTACTAAAAATACAAAAATTAGCCAGGGATAGTGGTGCGTGCCTGTAATCCCAGCTACTCGGTAGGCTGAGACACGAGAATTGCTTACACCCAGGAGGCAGAGGTTGCAGTGAGCCAAGATTGTGCCACTGGCCTCCAGCCAGGGTGACAGAATGAGACTCTATCTCAAAAAAAGAAAAGAAAAGAGAAGAGGAGAATGATCTGGAGAAAATAAGTTCTGCATTTATTGATACGGTGATCTCACTTCGTAAATGTCTCAGTCAGAACCAGAAAACATGCAGCCCTGTGGCTACTAAAGGTGATAAAATAAGATGTAGTCTCCACCCTCAAAGACCTTACACACACTAATCACACATAAGGTTAGTGCAAAATTAACTACATATAAGACAGAATTAATAAGTGAAAGCCAAAAGAAAGAAAAAGAAGGGTGGTTCTTTTGGTCTTTGAACTTTTCCTGTTCTGATAACCATCTGACAGTTAGTAAAAACATTATTTTCTCAGGGGAAAAGAAATAGAGAGAGAGGCGGGGGTGGGAAGCAAAAGTGGAGTTGGGGGGAACCCAAACACCTTCAAACAAGACTTCCCACATGCACTCAGAGCTTTTCTTCTTTCTGTTACCCGCCCCCTATGGTGTCTCTTCAAAATACTTCTCTTGGCCTGCTTTGTGGAATATGCTCATTGTATTGCTATAAGAAAAGGATTCTCAAACCATACTTAGAAGGTGTAGTCACTAAATTCAGGTTTGCTAGCTTAACACAAGTCTCTCCTTAGCTTAATCTAACTCCCCCTCCAAGTCACCTGTTCTCTCCATCCTTGATTCCTTGTATAGGACATTTCTCACAGGGATATGAGTTGAAATCCGTAAGTTCAGTTCAAAGTGTTCTTCTCAGAAGGAAAGAAACTATACACCAGTTACTTTATGAGACACATTCTTTTTTTTTTTTTTTTGAGATGGACTCTTGCTCTGTCACCCAGGCTAGAGTGCGGTAGCAGGATCTTGGCTCACTGCAACCTCCGCCTCCCGGGTTCAAGCGATTCTCCTGCCTTAACCTCCTGAACAGTTGGGACTTACAGGCGTGTGTCACAATACCCGGCTAATTTTTTCTATTTTTAGTAGAGGCGGGATTTTACCATGTTAGCCAGGATGGTCTCAATCCCTGACCTCGTGATCCGCCTGCCTTGGCCTCCCAAAGTGCTGGGGTTGCAGGTGTGAGCCACCATGCCCAGCGCCCGGCAGAGATACATTCTTATAACATTAATTCATCTGATCCTCACAGCAATCCTGCCAGGTAGGCATTTCTATATTTATTTTCCTGTGAGAAATAGGAGACTCAAAAATTTAAGCAGTGTGCCCAAGGACACATAACTAATTTACCGTGGGTTCAAACATCAGTTTTTCAAGGGCCAATAGTGAGCTTTTGTTTTGTGTGTATTCTCCCACTATTCTAGTACTGCCTCTAAAAGCCGAGAGCCAACTAAGCACTGACCATCCTTCCATAAGCTTCCTTTTCTAGGCGCAAACTTAAGTCACACCCCTCGCTTCTGGCTCTCTAGCTCTGCTCTCTGGCCAATCTACCTTTCATTTTCATGGTTCTCTGCCGTCAGAAATTCTCCTTTATCTACTATCTCATCCACACCTGTTTGCAGTCCACCGTCCCCCGACCCCCGTCTTAGTCATCCTACTTCCTCATTACCTATATCCAAAGTGATCCTTCATCCCATATGAATTTATAATTAATTTAATAACAAGTATCCAACCAAACATCTATCATATAATGAGGCCCTGTGAAAAAAGACACCCACAGTCTTCTACCTTCTCAGAGCTAACTGTCCATTGAGATGTACAGGCTTATAAAATACATGTTATATTAAAAGGCCTAACAGGTGAAGTTCAGGGTTATTAGAGAAGCAAATAAGACAGGTGCCCAACCAAGTCTTGGGGAGACCTAGAAAATCCTCCTGAGGGAGAATAATGGACATTAAAAACAATAATCTGATTTCAAGCTTGCTAGTTAGATCAGCTCAAGATTTCCATATCCCAGCTAGTAATTAGCCCATTCAGGAAGTATTTGACACAACAAAAATTCTAGTGCAATAATAGAATATGGAAAGTCTTTTGGTGGGCACTATAACATAAAATTTGTCCAAATGTTCTAGAACATTTTGTTATACAGTCTAATTATCCTTTTTAAAAAGTAAAATCTAATCCTGTTAACATTTTCTTTTTAAAATTGTTTATTTTTTGTTATTATTATTATTTTTTGAGACATGATCTCACTCTGTCACCCAGGCTGGAGTGCAGTGGTGCAATCATGGCTCACTGCAGCCTCAACCTCTTGGGCTCAAGCAATCCTCCCACCTCAGCCTCCCAAGTAGCTGGGATCACAGGTACACGTCACCACAGCTGGCTATTTTTTTTTTTTTTTTTAATTTTTTTAGAGACAGAGTATCCAATAAGTTGGATACTTGTTATTATTCACTATGTTGCCCAGGCTGGTCTCAAACTCCTAGGCTTAACTGATCCTCCTGCCTAAACCTCCCAAACTGCTAGGAATACAGGCATGAGCCACTGTACTTGGCCATTATTTTCTTATCTGCTCCTTTTGTATATTCAAGGAATTTTTATGAAGGAATTTGCTACTTTGTAGATGACTAAGTATTCTCCAATATCAATTTTCCACTTCTTTCATAGATCTCTTGATTTTTGGCTCGGCACATAAGTGTCCAGAACTTAAAAAAAGCAAAAAAAAAAATACATTTCCTCATGATACTTGCAGCTAGATATAGTCAAATGATAAAGTTCTAGCCAAAGATATATAAATAGATGGGGCATATGGTGATTTCCAGAAACTTCCCTTAAACGAAGGCAAACTTGGCCCTATCTTTCTCACCACTTCTTCCACCCCACTGCACAGAGCTCAGGTGGGCTCCTCCATGGTGGGTCATGAAATCAGGGGCTACACTCTGGGTATGGTGGAGGGGAGCACTGGGAGGAGGCTGGATCCTGAGGACCCTGGAGCAGAGTCACCAGGTCTACCTCTAGATTTTATGTGAGAGAGAATAAGCTTTTATCTTACTTCTTCTCACAGCCAAACCTAATCTTATCTGATACAAGACAAGCAGAAAAACAAAATTATTTGTCTCTGTGTCAGCAGGATTGTGGCCAATTCAGCATGAGTTGAAACCCTAACCCATACCCAGAGCAAGACTCTGTCTCTCTTCCCAGTATCCCTTACTGAGGGCCAGCATGGTATAATGGTAGAGCATTAACTGGGCCCAAGGCTGCCTGCATCCAAATCCAACTCAGTTGTTTACCAGTTAGGTAACATTGGATGGAACATTTATTTTCCCTGTGCCTCCATTTCCTCATCTACAAGACGGTGATAACAGCAGTGCCCAACGCTGAGGTTGTTACAAGGATTAAATGAGTTAATACTTGTAAATCACTTAGGACTACTCATACATAGAAAGCCATGTAAGTCTTTGTTCAGTAAATCAATTACAGACGTCCACTGTCGCAGGACTTCAAAACAGAATGTACTTTTGAAAATCATACTGAGCTAATTTGGGGGAAGATACAGACAGTAAAAAGTCAATAAATAATTATTAAACAAATGAATCCTGCAAATGATACTAAGCAAATCAATTTACCTGCAAAAATAACTGTAAGTAGCCTCCCAGTTTTTTAACTTCTTGTCTCAATTCATCTTCAAGTCTTGCTATGTTGGCACAAGGCAGTAAATCATTCAGCCAGTGTTTCATCAGCACCACTAGCTGCTCAAAAGCACATGCAGTCTGAATAGTAAGTGCCTGGGTTGCTCGATCAGAAGAAAACACTTTGAAAGAACAAGAAAAGTTACTGGAAGAAATAATATCCAATAAAATAACTCATATATGATCATATTAAAACATTTTGACACAGTTAAAAGATGCATGCCAGATGTGCCAAATAATCATTCAAAACAAAGTGCAATGTGCAGAAAATAATTATTTGTGTGAGTTAACAAAAGCAGTGGGATTTCTTACAGTTATCTTGACTTTCTTCATCTTGTTCTTCATGAGCCTTGGAAATGGCAAGTAGCCCATTATAAATTTTAAGAAAACTATTCATTAGGCTATCTGCTATAGTTCTTTCTTCATCATAGCTCTGTCCAAGAAAATCTAATGAAGAACCAATCAATTCTTTGCAAATTCCAGGAAGAAATGACTCTGCCGAATTTGAGTAAATGGTGCTTGATTTGTCCATTAAACCTACATCAACAGAAAATAGTTTTAAGCCTTGTTTTCAGGAATAATACTTTCTTTAAAAAAAAAAAAAACGGGATCCTTACTTTATGTACTTTTGCATTATTTGAATGTATTACAACAAGAAAGCATTTTTGTATTCATTGTGGAATTAGAAAAAAAATTAGTATCTACAACATCATATGCTATGCTATACTTCAAAGTATATCTTCCATGCTATACTTGCATATGTTGATTTCCAGTGTGCTCCATAATGTTAATTTTGCAGGAACTACCCCTCTGCTGCTTGCAAATGTTACTCATATACTATTTCTCTTCCAAAAATATTCAGGCATAATACTTTCAAGCAAATGTTTTAATGCAATAATATTATAGGATCACTGATCAATAAATTCAAAGTAGGCTATACTTATTTCAGTTCAGCTTGATTTCTATATGCCAAAGTGAAAAAATAATTCCATGCAGGGATCAGTTAACCTCTCAATAGCATCAGTCCATAGATTTAGTAGCTCCTCAACTGCACTATGAGACAAGGGAGAATCCAAATATCCCACGTAACCATTGATTTAATCTCTTACTTTTTGGTAGGGATTAATTTTCTTTCCTTTCTTTCTCTCTCTTTCTTTCTTTTTTAAAAGACAGGGTCTTGCTATGCTGCCCAGGCTGGGATGTGGTGGCTACTCACAAGCATCATCATAGCACACTGGGCCTCAAACTCCTGGACTCAAGCAATCCCTTGGCCTCAGCCTCCACAGTAGATGGGACTACAAGCATGTGCTACTATGTCTAGTGGGATTAATTTTCTCTAACACTGGAAGAACTGTAATTGATGAAACCAGTGAGAGTTACATAAAATAAAATTAGAAATTTAATTGGATTCATAAACTGGAAAAGTAAACAATGATAAACTATATTAAAAGTAGTGTCTCAGCCAGGCACGGTGGCTCACGCCTATAATCCCAGCACTTTGGGAGGCCAAGTTGGGCAGATCACCTGAGGTCAGGAGTTCAAGATCAGCCTGAGCAACATGGTGAAACTCTCTGTCTCTACTAAAAATACAAAACTAGCTGGTCATGGTGGTGGGCACCTGTAGTTACAGCTATTCAAGAGACTAAGGCAGGAGAATTGCTTGAACCTAGGAGGTGGACTGCAGCGAGCCAAGATCCCGCCACTGTACTCCAGCCTGGGCAAAAAGAGTGAAACTCTGTTTCAAAAAAAAAAAAAAACAAACAAAAGTAATGTCTCAGTACCTCTACTTTATAATAGTTCCTCCTCAAGGTATATTACAATCAAGATAGGCTAAAACCAACTGATTATATACAGTTAATATAGCACATCTCTGGGAAATAGATTTTCTAAGCATTGTCTAAACCAGAAGTAAATGAAAAGCTTGAAAGAGCTCCTTCAGAGCCCCTGGAAATAACTTTATCCTGGACTGCTAATATATGAGTATAATGATTCTTATTTAAGGCAAGATTAAGTTTTCTGGTCCACTTTATAGGTGTTTAAAAGCAGCAAACTAAAAGGAGGTAGAATAAAGGCACAGGGTGGGGAATATTAAAACAACTAGAACTAAGTAAGAGTTTGGTTTGGAAAGAGAAAAAAGAAAAGCTACAAAACCCAAAGCTACAGTAGAGTAACGATGGCTCAATATCATTACTGTGATAATGACTATATTATAGTCATTGAGAACAGTTAACTATATATTCTCTCTATTTAAGAAGATAATTGTATTAATGCATTCCAAAATCCAACAAAAACATTTTAGAAAGACCTGCAAAAATACAGGCAAAACATGGCCCTTAATTTTAGAAGTTAAGATATTTGCTCAACTTCCCAAAGCTAGAAAGTGCTAGAACGGTGGCGTACAGCCTCTCATCCCCAGGCCTGGTCCCCCTTCCACACCCACAGCTGCCCAGATGGGGTCCTACTAAGTTCACATGTGGGTTTCCGTTTCTGTCTTTGCAAACTGCAAATAAGCAAAGACCTTTTCTATCCCTGACTTTCCTTAAAATTATTTTTGTAAAATATCTACTCAAATAATATTGAATAAATAAGTTGTTACCACAGATATACACCTTTTTATTTTGCTAGTAATAAAAAACCCACAGCATGTTTTAATCTACCTTAGATTAAATAAGTAGTAGGATCATAATTATCTTCCTGAAAGAAACGCTAATTTCTAAAATTTAAAGTCAAGATGAGACATAATAATACCTTTTACGGCTACTCATATTCCATCAGGACCTTTATCAAATACATTATGTTACATAATTAGTTTAAAATATTTGTTTACTAAGTATAATATGTGTACTGTAAAGTGCATATATCTCAAGTGTACAAATTATTTTTGTAATATACGCATACATCTGTAACCCCCACTTAGCTTGATGTACTGTATACAACATTCCACCATCCCATCCAACCCAACTTCTTCCCAGTTACTAGCTCCCAACAGAGGTAACCACTATTGAATTCTAAACTACTCTGGCTTTGGTCACCATGGTTTAGTTTGCCTGTCCTTGAACTTCATATAAAAGGAATCATGTAGTATATACTCTTTTGGATCTGGCTTCTTTCACTCAATGTTATGTTTCTGGAATTCATCCAGGTTTTGTGTGAATCAGTCATTCCCTCTTCTTCATTGCTACATAGTAGCCTATTGTTAGCAGGTAGTAATTACTATTATTATTATTATTTTTTTTTTTTTTTTTTTTTGACAGAGTTTTACACTTGTTGCGCAGGCTGGAGTGCAATGGTGCAATCTTGGCTCATTGCAACCTCTGCCTCCTGGGTTCAAGCTATTCTCCTGCCTCAGCCTCCCAAGTAGCTGGGATTACAGGCATATGCCACAATGCCCAGCTAATTTTGTATTTTTAGTAGAGACAGGGTTTCTCCATTTTGGTCAGGCTGGTCTTGAACTCCTGACCTCAGGTGATCTGCCCACCTTGGCCTCCCAAAGTGCTGGGATTACAGGTGTGAGCTACTGAGCATGGCCCGGCAGGTAGTAATATTTAAATTGTAATTATTAAAGGTAGTTACACATACAAAATTTACAGTGTATCCTCTCCTTCTACAGATAAACTAATATTATAATAAGTATTGGTACAAAATAATTATTCAGAGGAATAATTCCTTAACTTTTAAAAAAAATTAAAATAATTTTGGGATAGATGATACATAGATCATTATGCAAAATTCAGAAGAAACCAAAGGGTATGCAATGAAAAGGGTGTCTTCCTTCCTGTCCTGTCCCTAACCCCACACGCCCACGTACAACCAGCACTTTGGGGTTTTGGTGTAGTTCTCCAGAGAGATCTTATTCATTTACAAGCATCTATGTCCACGTCTTCTTTTTTCTCCTCCTCACACAAATGATAGAATATAATACATAATCTGCTGCACTTTGCTTTTTTCACTTCTGAGGAAGTAATATTCTCATATATTTTGGAACATACACGTCTTCCACATTTGAATTAGTTACTCTACTAAAAGACTCCGAAATAAATTATACAGAGCACAGAATTTTTCAAGTGGAAGGGGCTGTTGATCCAACCTCCTCATTTTAGAGGAAATGGAAGCTTCCAGGAAATGAAATGATTTGCACAAGGATAAGAAAAAATTTAACGGTAGAGCTAGGATTTAATGCTTTTTTCGTCATACAAAAAATGTGGGAAAAAAAAATACCTGATGAATGTGAAGAATGCAAATTCTTAATTGGGTGGACTTGTATATCATGTAAACAACCAGAAATTCTTCTATTCTTCATCAAACTCCTGCTCCTGAAAAAGGCAAACCATAAGATTAGTAGTCCTATACCATATGGGATAATAAATATTAAGAATATTTATAAGTTCTCTAAGAAAATGGACATTCATATGTGTGTTTTTCATTAAAAATTTCATCAAAGAAAAAATTCATTTGGTTAATTAAGGATTTTACTGTTTATCAGCACTGTTTTAGGCAGAACAAAAGAGATCAATTAGGCAAATAATTGTAATAAAGTGATGAATGTGATGAAGGCATACCGTGTTGTGGTAGGCCCTATAAAAGAACTTGACCTGGCCCAAGAAATTGGGGGGCCTGCTTGGAGCAAGGACTCTCAAGGATGAGTAAAAGCCAGAGGGCAGGCCTGGGAAGCAGGGAATAGTGTCTCAGATACAAGCAATAGGAAGGAAGACTTGATGATAAATGAATGCCAAGAACCAATCAAGGTTCAGAAGGACTGCGGCCCATGACGTAAGAGAGAGAGCAGCAAGGGATGAGGCTGGGAGGTGCGCAGGGGCCAGCTTGAGGTGGTCTTTGTATGTCAATAAAGCTAGGATTTCATCCTGAGCAAATTATCCAGGGAAGAATTTTATTTTATTTTATTTTTATTTTTTATTTATTTATTTTTTTTTTTTGAGACGGAGTTTCGCTCTTGTTACCCAGGCTGGAGTGCAATGGTGCGATCTCGGCTCACCGCAACCTCCGCCTCCTGGGTTCAGGCAATTCTCCTGCCTCAGCCTCCTGAGTAGCTGGGATTACAGGCACGTGCCACCATGCCCAGCTAATTTTTTGTAGTTTTAGTAGAGACGGGGTTTCACCATGTTGACCAGGATGGTCTCGATCTCTTGACCTCGTGATCCACCCGCCTCGGCCTCCCAAAGTGCTGGGATTACAGGCGTGAGCCACCACGCCCGGCACATTTGCCAAGTTAGGATTTATTGATTTTCTCTCCAACTTTTATTTTAGGATTAAGGGGTACATGTGCAGGATCGTTACATGGGTAAATTTCGTGCTGTGGGGGTTTGGTCTACAGATAATTTTGTCACATAGGTAACAGGCATAATACCTGATGGTATTAAACAGTTGTTCAATCCTCACCTTCTTCTAACTACCACCCTCAAATAGGCCCTAGTGTCTATTGTTCACTTCTTTGTGTCCATGTATACTCAATGTTTCAAGGAAAGATTTTAAACAGGGATGTGATTTAGGTAAAAAAACATTTAAGTAAATATCTGCTACACTGTGTGTAAAGCATAATACCTGTGAAGTGCAGCAGTAGTGCAAATGGAAGAAATGTTTCTAATCCAATTGCTCTTTTTGCTGACCTCTTTTTCCTCAGCATATAAAAATGCCCCACTTTCTGCTTTGAGTTTGCTTGACTGTCTAAGGTGTTATTTTCTTTCTGTCTGCTTCTTGAAAACAGAGGCTACCCTTTCTGCTACTGGAGAAAGCAACCTACCTCTATATTGCCATTCATCTATAAATTTTCTAAAACCAAACTCCAGCTCCTATGTCAATGAAACTACTCAATCAGTGATCTAAATCTAAATTGAGTGGATCTTTTGAAGCATTTTTCCTAACAGAACTCTATTACTGTTGGCCACTCAAAGAAAAATACTATTTGTTGAAAAGATTATTAAGCCAAAGCATTCTATCAGTAGTAGTATAAATGTTTCAAATATAAAATTGACCCCATGAACTCCTACAAGAAAAAACACACACACAGAAATAGGACTGACAAAAGGGAAAGAAAATATCAATTCTCAAATATTAGTTTTTCTACTAGGGGTGAAAAAAGGGTGTAAGATTACAGCAAATCTAAACTAGTAAAACAGTTCTTCTTGCAACAATATCATAGTTAAACAATGTTTAAACCCAAATAAAATGCTTGTCATATTCCTTTCAAAGAACTTTTACTTAACCTCAGGAGGAAATTTACTTTTAACTGTCAACAGTATATATCAAAATTTATAGGGAGCCACACCAGTCTATTTTATTGCAGAACAACTGTGGCATATCATTGCCCAGTAGAAGTTATATAATTAAGAATCTGTCACTGTTTCCATTACCTGCAGGTATTCTCAGAGTTTGGAATTCTGTCATAAACATTCTTACAAGGCTGAAACTTCATATACAAGGTCTCAGACTAAGAGCAATTCATTTTTAAAAAATATGATACTTTTAAATTATAGAAGTTCCCAAAAATATCTCTGTCAAATGAAAATACCCAATTTCAAAATCTTAGAACATACTGAGATGTTTTGATTTTTGATAACATTTTAAACTTCTGCTGATTCCCTATTATTACTTAAAAGTTAACAGAAAGTAAGATGTAAATTACCAACATTCAGTAGGCTAAAAGTTTAATGCTCATTAATTATCAATGGTCCTATTATGATTTACATTTCTAAATATAAAAAGTTTAAATTTGTTTATAATAAAAATAATACAAAACTAGTAATCCTAAAATCCAAAGATATTCATAAATCATTCTCTGATGAATTTGTTGGTCTGGTTTAAGTTTTGGGAGGTTTATGTTATTCTAGGTTGGCTTCCATATCTCAAGCTCTACTACCCAATTTCACCTAAGGACCATTTTTAGCCCACTTCAGTGCCAGAGACCAGCTCTATCAAGTCCTCAAGACAAATCACTTGAAGATATTATCATCTGTTACCAGTATTGGACAGAAACCACAGCTTCTCTGTATTCTAAGATTTACTCTTATTCAATATATATTAAGCATCCAATAATAATCAGAGCTGCCATTTATTGAATGCCCACCCACTGTAAGAGGAGCTTTATGTGTACTGTCTCTAATCCTTGTAACAACTCTGCAACATGATCATCATCAGTCCCATGTTGTCAATCATGGTGGTCATGGTAGACATAACAGGAGCAGCAGATGCTCTATACATAGGGCCTCATTTGATCTTAATGATAAATATCTGTAAAGTAGGTATATATGACTGTCTTCATTTTACAGATGAGAAAACTGAAGCTTAGAGATGTAATGTCACTTGTCCATGACCACACTGAGCATAGATTAGAACCCAGGACCCTGATAACAGGGCATGTGACCTTTTTACTACGCTATATTGTAGGGGATACAGACATGTTCCCTACATGCAAGGAGCTCATTTCTGTGTAAAAGATATGCATTGTATTTCATTCAGAATAATGCTAATTATGTGTTAGCAATTTCTTATTGTAGCTTAGTGGTTAGCATGTGACAAAGCAGAAATAATAGGGGGAAAGTTGCCATAAAATAGTTTCAACTCTTTAAGGAAAATTATAAATGAGTTTAAAATAAGCCAAGTCAAAAACAATGCTATAGGCCTAAAACGATTTAGAAACCCAAATGGAGGCTGGGTGCAGTGGCTCACGCCTATAATCCCAGCACTTTGAGAGGCCGAAGAGGGTGGATCATCTGAGGTCGGGAGTTTAAGACCAGCCTGACCAACGTGGGGAAACCCTGTCTCTACTAACAAAATTAGGCGGATGTGGTAGCCCATGCCTGTAATCCCAGCTACTTGGGAGGCTGAGGCAGGTGAATTGCTTTAACCTGGGAGGCGGAGGTTGCGGTGAGCCTAGATCGCGCTATTGCACTCCAGCCTGGACAACAAGAGTGAAACTCCATCTCAAAAAAAAAAAAAGAAAGAAACCCAAATGGATCGTGATCTGCAGCTGAAGGCAATGAAGTTTAAGAAAACATAAAACAATTCGCTTAAACAGAGGATACTACTCTTTCATGTGCAATGAAAGGCATAGCAGTTAAGAAAATCAGGAGCACCATCATCAGAGATTATTACAAACAACTCTATGCACATAAACTAATAAACCTGGAAGAAATGGATAAATTCCTGGACACTTGCCTCCTCCCAAGCCTAAACCAGGAAGAAGCCGAAACCCTGAACAGACCCATAACAAGGTCTGAAGTTGAGGCAGCAATTAAGAGCCTACCAACCAAAAAAAGCCCAGGTCCAGACGGGTTCACAGCCAAATTCTACCAGACGTACAAAGAGGAGCTGGTACCATTCCTTCTGAAACTATTCCAAACAATACAAAAAGAGGGAATTCTTCGCAAATCATTTTATGAGACCAACATCATCCTGATTCCAAAACCCGGC